GTTGACGGTGCCCGTCGGTGCCGCTGAGCCGTTGAAGTATATCTGAAACACAGGCGATAGCGGACAGTCCGAAAGGTACTGCTTGCGTAATAGCAGTTTGGATCCGCAGTTTCCGGCGCCCGGTGGCTTGTTTACCTTTTGAGCTGCACAAAATTAGGGTCGAGGAGAAGTGTTGCCTAGGTTCAGAAATAGGATCATGCTCTCGTAGGTGCTCAAACTTGACAGGGCCTGCTCCGTGCTCTCTAGTCATCGGCCACACTCTTGTTCAAGACCAATTCGAAGATCTTGAGGAACAAACGCTACACCATGTCGACCACAAAACATGTCAAGTTCGCGGAAGACGTCAGCCCTCCGCAACCAACGCTTGCTCCCAGGTCAGCGGCAAATGCAGTACATCCAGACCGTTTAGCAGTAGTACAGGCAGCCTCTGGAAAAGTGAAAGTCTCGAAAAAATCAAAGGTAAACCGTGAACATGCGTTGAATCTCGAAAGACTCGCTAACATGGTAATTTGCGCTTTCAGACGAAAACCGACGCACAGAGACGGTATTTGAAGAAGAAGCTGGACAAGCGGAAAAAGGTGCTGAAAGCGAAGAAGGCCTCTGAACCGAAACAAAAGGACGGAGAAGCGCCTGAGCCCTCGACCTCCCGCTCAGATCCGGCTGTAGAGAAGGCGACTACAACAGCGAAGCCGTCTTCCTATGACCACACAAGTGCACAGACTGCCGGTATCGCGGATGGCAATACTGGAACAGCAGGAGATGAGGAATCTGAAGAAAGCCTTGAGGCCAGGAGAGCCAAGCGAAAGGCGGAGAAGAAGTTGATAAGGGAAGAGAGAAGGGCACTGGAGAAGGAATTAGCAGAACAGAAGGCTGTTATGTCTGTGGCTGTTGCCAACACTCCCGAAAAATCTAGCAACAGTGAGTAGGCATTTTTCCACCAATACTCCTTTTTTATAGGTCGGCAGGGAATGACCGAGTTGGTGATATTCAACAGCCGAACAGAAGAGACCTCGAGAAGATATCACCGAGACAGAATCGTCTGCCAAACGCCCACGTCAAGCCGACGTCGACAGTGATCCATCCAATGATGAATCCGAGGTGCAGCGCTCGGGAACACCTCTTTCTTCCCACTCTCGTACACCGTCCCCTGAAACAGAGAACCGTCGTATAGACCAGGACCTCGAGTTGGAAATGGAAATGGCAAAAGACTTAGCGGGAATTCCAACCTTTCCGCTTCCATCAGGTCGAGCAAAGGCATCCGCGGAGCTGTTGGCGATGCAAGGTCTGCCGCCTGCTTTAAGGGACGCAGAGCGCGTTGCACAAGAATTACGAGTCCCCGTCAGAGATATTCAAATTCGACAACATCGGAGGAGGAATGTCGACAAGGAGGAGGATGGACAGGCGAATGGAGACGGTCTGAGTGCCAGGATAAGGAAACAACTGGAGGATTCCGGGATAGAAGATTTCTTCGCTGGTGAGCACTAGATGCCCTGGGAACCGGCTTTGTTTACTCAGATCAACTTTTCCAGTGCAAACGGCATTGGTCCCCGAGCTTGCTGGTCTACCTCTAATCACTCACGCCGACGAATTTCTGCATGATTATTTGGTCTCTGCTCCGACCGGGTCAGGTAAAACATTATCATATGTGGTGCCGTTGATTGAAGTGAGTGCAATGTTGTTTCCTGCCAATACCGATGCTGAGAATCGCTATGGGTTTTAGGTCCTGTCGAAACGTATAGTCACGCGACTCAGGGCTTTGATCATTCTCCCTACAAGAGATTTGGTAATGCAAGTCCGCGAAACTCTGGAGTCGCTGAGTCGGGGGACAGGTTTGCGAGTAGGTAGAGCGAAATACTTGATCTTCCTGGCATATCGCTGACGCATAGGTTGATTAGATTGGTACAGCGACGGGTCAACATTCCTTCGCACTGGAGCAGGCTACCTTGGTTGCTGATTTAGAGTCTGCGTGAGTCCACCTGGTTTCATGACAATGCTATATGTCTGTGCTTACGGTATTGTATGTCATTGCAGGCTTCTGGGAGGGTCTTCCAAAGTCGATATCCTAATAGCTACGCCAGGGCGTCTGATGGACCATCTGCATGGTACTCGGAATTTCAGTTTGCAACATCTTCGTTTCCTGGTAAGCTTACATAAGAAAGGTTTATACCTCCAGTCCGATGCTAAAAGCTCGCTTGCCTCGTAGATTATCGATGAAGCGGATCGACTCCTGAATCAGTCATTCCAGGATTGGCTAGCGCAAGTGTTGACGCATCTCTCGCCGGAATCTCATGCATCAGAAGCATCACAGGGGAAGGTCGGGCACGATGCCGTAGCGGCTCCGTGGTATGAGGGTCTCGGACTACAGCAGAAGCTGTGGGAGGGCTGCCGGCCACTAGCCAGCCAGGTAAGTGTTGGACCCGTCAATCATAGGAGGTTCGATAATGGATGATCGTCCTCTTTGCAGTGCCAAAAACTTCTATTCTCAGCTACCCTCACCCGGGATCCGAGCAAAATTGCAGCTCTGCAGCTGAGGAACCCTCGCTACTTTATTGTGGGCGATGCTGCGTCCGAACTTGTGGAAGGGTCTCACACCGTTCCGGCAGATATTACCGGAAATTCGTTTGCTCTGCCATCAACCCTGACTGTGAGTAGGGCAGCTACTTCGCACATTTCGTGCGCACTGACACGGCGTTCGTCGGGTTTAGGAACGCATGGTCATCCTCCCTTCCGAGTTCAAGCCTCTGAACCTGTTATATTTGCTCCACGACGCCCGTTTCGGCATCAAATCTGCACTCTGCTTTACGAAATCCGTTGATTCGGCCGAGCGGCTGCTCATGCTCATCCATTTCTTTGAAGATGCTTACCCTGGGAGCACACGAAAGCTGGTGGTCAAGGGTTATTCGGGAGAACTGGGAACAGCCGAGCGTACAAAACTTCTTGGCGATTTTAAGAAAGGAGATGTCGATCTGTAAGCTGATGCAGCTGCGTCTCGTCCTGCGATATACAAGCTAACCTTGCGATGACATGTAGACTGATCTGTTCCGATTTGATCGCCCGAGGTATTGATTTACCGACTGTTACACATGTTATATCGTACGATGCACCTGTCGACATGCGCAAGTACGTTCATCGGGTTGGGCGTACCGCTCGAGCTGGTCGCGAAGGAACGGCGTGGACACTAGTTGAGAAACAGGAGGTGAGCCCAGAAGACCAAGCTTAAACGCCAAATTCGATGTTGATACCTCTCTTCGGCGGCCTAGGCCCGACATTTCAAGGAGATGTTAACAGCGGCCAATCATCTGTCAAAGGTGAAGAAGATCAAGATTAAGGAGGATCAGCTGACCGATCTACGTGAAAGCTACACTGTAAGCAACAAGTGATACCCTTCCGACTCAGATTTATACACTTACCGCTCTTGGTCCAAAATAGATTGCTCTGTCGCGGCTAAAATCGGCATATGCCAAGGCTTGATGCAGGATTTGTACATATGAGATGATTCCATGATGGAATGATTTGTCAGGGGACGGAATAACATAGGCGAGCAGCGCTGTAACAACAAGGATAGGTCTCTAGTGACGATTTTGAAGCGCTCGAGCTCACATTGACCGTGAGAAGTTTCAAGAACCGTTGTCCAGCGTGGACTCGGGAACTAGGACTGGGCGAGGACGTTGGCACTACCATATGACTATGGATAAGAGAACAACAATCATGGCTTGGAGAAAGGCCATCGTACAACGATGAGATGAAAGCTGGTCAACTCCTCTCTATATATTCGAACGCGCCTTCTCCATTTGATGCGACTAACTTGATTCACTATTATTCTCCTGGACCCGTATTGTCATTCATGACAGAAAACCTGTCATATCTCGCCCAGGTAAGTGGTAGGTATAGATCTGAAGTGCTGATAGATACAGGACAGGGGCAAGCTCAGAGGTATCTTGACGTCAGTCTTTTCCACCATTCCGGCCGTCGTAGAAGATCCCTTTTATTATATCAACGTCTATGAAAGCTGATACACCCGGTCAAAACACCGCAATGCATTCATCGCGACTGACTTTCGACGACCATCGTTTTCATGCCAGCTCTGCTGAAATGATAGGGGGTCCGATACCTCTCTTCATCATAGGAGCCTCCGGGGCTGAGTGAGAGAAGCGCTTCGCATAGAAAATCAAGTTGGTGAAGTTTTACCCATTTTTTCCCTGTGGACCAGTAGCGTGAAGCATGAGATCGCAAGACCGCAGCATTGTTTCTGCGATGAACCTTCGGATGCCCCACTTGTCAGGGGAAACAGAATAGAGAAATCATGGTCAGATTCTGGTGCCAGCATGACTTCGAGAATGCTTGGATGGACCAGGAAGAAGCAGGGGGCATCAAAAAGCAGCTCGGGCGCGGTTTAGTACACGCCTAGTGAAGTCACGAATCGACCCCCTTGGCGTACCCAAGCGACCGCCAAGTGACTGGGGTGGCTGAGAAAGTTGCTGTGTATGTAGGAAGCTGCTTAGCGTTCTTCAAAAGACCTTAAATTGCCCCCGAATGTTCAGACCACAGGTAATCCGGCACCTGCCAAGCGTCAGTTTAGCTTGTAGCAATTTTGCGAGCGGGATAGTATACTGACGCAGAGCTCGAGTCAGCAAACCCTGACCAGGACTATGGGAGAGGGAAGTATGAATTGCACTCCTACGTCTCTGAAGTGTCTTTGTGCTCAACTCGGCATTGAACGAAAATTATCAGACCTAATTCTTTCCAAGGCGTGTTCAGCGCAAAAGCCGTCGTGACTTCTGTTCTGCTGGGTCGTATCAAAGTGAATTTGCGGAGAGACCAAACTACCGGTGTTGATCTGACCTGTGTCTATCTACTGACCCTTTTTCCGAGTAACGAAACCGGAAAAGCAATAAAAAACGCGTTGCCGCTGCCAAAAACGCGTTTCCGTTCCCACATCCACCCCCTCAACCTCCAGGTAACTTCACAAGGCTGCACAGTGGGCAAGAGCAAAAAGAGAGTCCCCTCAACCCGGATCGAACGGGTGACCGCGGCAGAACGAATACAACTGTTCAATACAGCCTTAGGGGATTACAATGCCGCGCTCTTCCAACTGAGCTATGAGGGGTAGCTGCTAAGGCAAGACTTGAGGCTTATGAGGTGGCTATAGAAATTTAACGCAGCTCTCTCCAACATCTTCTAGTCTACCTGCTAAGACTGTCGTGCCTTCGTCTATAGGAACTTCTCTACTTCACTTTGCCGGCTTCACTTCACCGACTTCACTTCACCTACTTCACTTCACCGACTTCATTTCACCGCTTCACTTCACCGCTTCATTTCAGTAACTTCATCACTTCACCACTTCACTTCGCCACTTTATGACTTCACTTCACCACTTCACTTCGGGACTTCACTTCACTTGCTTCAGTTACTTCACCTACACTTGGGACACTTCGCCTCCCTTGGACAGCTACGCATTTCAGATAAGTATATATAGCTGGCACTTTGCCCCTTTTGTAATGGCTCTCATGTATTATGATTCACCCTTTGATTTCCTTTCAACTACGAAGCTACCTTCGAGTGCAAGTTTCCTCAGGATTAGCATTGTCGCGGGCTAGAGGTCTATCTTACCGAAGGGAGATAGCTCAGCCGTTATATAGGGAACTAGCACAAATGATGTACACTTACTGTCTTAGACTAATCTTGAATACCTTGAATGGAAGACTAGGATGCTGATCCTTAGGAGACTTGCATTCGAAGGTAGCTTCGTAGTTGAAAGGAAATCAAAGGGTGAATCATAATACATGAGAGCTATTACAAGAGGGACACGACGGCCAGCTATATATACGTAAATGGAGAGGCTACCTCTCCCAGCTGTCTGTGAAGGACTTCCTGAAGAAGTCTTCTTGAGGAAGTCGGGGAAGTACTTCTTGAGGAAGTCTTTCTGAGGAAGTCGGGGTAGTACTTCTTGAGGAAGTCTGAGGAAGTACTTCCTGGCCAAGTTCTCTCAGCCAGATGAGTGACTGAAACCGGTCGAGTGCGGATGACAACGACAGTGATGACGTCGTCAACTATAGGTTTATACAATAGTAGGCCGTACCTCTACAGTCTTGAAGGGTAGGCTAGAAGATACTGGAGAGAGCACCGTTGTATCTCTACAAGCATCCTAGTCTCTCGCACGATACATTTAGCCACGAAAATTAATACTATTTGACTTGTCCACTCAAGAGCACGTACTGTTTCATAGGTGGTACCACGTCCTATATGTATTATTCTAGTTACTACGATCCTAAGGCTCTTCGGCCTTTTACAGTGTCGGCTAGTCGAGACTCCGCGTGGATATCCTTCTTTTGGGGCGAATTGCTGATTGTAAAAAGCGTGCCTAAGGGGCGCAAGTGAGGAAGTGAACATGGCGGACTGCCCACGAGTGCGAACCGGAGTATGGTCGATTGTATCTCTATATAAAAGTGGTGTTCGTGCCAAGGGGCGAGGCCGGGAGAGGCTGCTGAAAATATATAAACCGAAAAAAATCACGTTAAGGGGGCTCAGGAGAAAATGAGGATGTAGCTCCGAGGGGAGTTACAGATGCGCATATGAAAAGAAAGATCAGCTGTGACTCAACACCGACAAAGGGTGCGCTGCCGCTAGTTTAAAGGCAAAAGATGAATGATGCGACTTTGACTTTGAACAGAGAGGCCCTCCGAAGTATAAAGGGGTTGGGAGATCAGACAATGACGGGTTTAGTATAAATGAATTAAATGAAAGAATCGATGATCGTTACCTGTCGTTCTTAGTCACAATTCACAAGTCGGATAATCTAGACAACCAGGAACTGCATCTCTGAAAAGGTACAAAGGAGCTGAATACTTCGAGGAATCATTTCCTTTGGGATGTTGACGACGATTCCAGTAACAAGGACCATCGGTATTCTAATCGCTCTGGCGACATATGTAAAAGTCATCTTTGCCAATCCAGCCTTTGCCATTCAAGCAAGAGCCGACGTGACGGGAATTACCTACGATTTCGGTACCTTTAACGATGTACAAGTTCTCGGGAAATTAGTTCCCGCACCCAAGGACTCCTGCAATTTGATCATTCTAGGCAATGGCGATACGGTGAGCAAGGAAAGGTTTTTAGGTGACTCTACTGGCCTGACTAATCCTAAATGTCAGTGGGAAGATTTGAAAAAGGCCACAAGGGTATTTCCTTACTGTAACCCCGCCGGCCCCAAGAAACAGGCACAAGGGGAGCCATTGCACTCGGTCGCCAAGATTGTCCTGGAAGACTCGTTCGAGAATCCTACGGAACACGCGACCCTTTTCTACGTGCTTGGGGAGCTTGAGGAAGTCCAGGATCATCCTGATCAGGTACGAGGAAGCAGCTTGAAAGCTTTCAATCTCAAGGGAAAGGAGATAAAGTAAGTACCCTACCACAAATCTGGGGTGTATTGACGATAATCTGAGGCTGTCTCCTCCCTGTAGTCTTGATACGGGTGATACAACGCGATACAACGGCATGGGTGGCGTTGTCTCTGTCCCCCCCAATGGTAAATGGATTCCCGAAGAACTGGGTCCTTACGCGAATCCTTGGGTAATGGCGATAGGTGAGCCGATTTGAAGGATCAGTTGTCTACCAAAGGTGGACTGATACGTTAATCTCAGGAGCCGCGTTCGTTTACGAACCATCTGCCTGGTCAGGCAACTACTAGGAAATATGCAATAACTACATTTTGTCATCACAGTCGCGTGATATTTTCTTTTGCTAGCCCGTAGACAGAAGAGATACTGCCTATTTAGGCTCTTGTACTGGACGAAATTCCAACGATTCCTATGCGCCGGGCCACATCGGATCACCGCGCACTCTCACAACTGTCTTTCAGACTGTCTTTCGTTAGTAGAATAGCTGCATCGTAATGATGCAAAATCATGTACCTGCTCTTTATCTTCGCAACTGTATTCTGATTTCCAAGACGAATGACTCACACCATATTGGCTTTGGTCATTTGTAAACAACCCGACAGTCACCAGGAGTCGGTAATTGTCAGATTCCGGACGTCAATTGGACTTGTGTGCAGAAGTCACAAAGTCAGGTGAGTATTGTAGGAGATATGTTGAGTGCTAACGATTCTCTAAGCGCGCGGTTGACTTTGCGGATCAAAGAACGTGTCAGTAAGCAGGATGTCAGCGTATGATGTTACCATCTCCTCCCTTGCTATCACACCGCTATGTTGTTTATACGTTCCGCCGTTCCTTTATCAACACACCGTTACCTCATCCTTTACAATCTCCGTCGTTCCTTCGCATGCCGTATCCTGAAACTACTGCTACATTGTGCAGCGGGATTACTGGCAGAAAACCCTCCGTCACACTGTCATTCTGTATACTGATTCTGCTACCTCTGCAAAATATTGGCACATAGGTTACAATCATTACGCTTTCGTGGATCGTAATCTTGCGGTAAATTAAACCGCAAAGATGCGGACTCTCGGCTACAACTAGGGCGGCTCAAATCACAACTCTGAATGTGTGTTGCTGACTAGGCGTTGTTGTCAATGCATGGCGCCTTCTACAAGGCATAGCCGTCCAGCTTGACTTTACCGTTCTTCCCCCAAGTTGTGCTGGACCCTGTACATGCTCTGCATAAGATAGAACGTGATGGGCTAGTCGTGTGAGTTTCTTGAGTCTTTCCTTCACCTCCAGATACATGCTAACGCTTTACCACTTGTACAGTCAAAGTTGTACAAATCTCTTCTGCTTGTAGCTCAATATTGACCATGTCCGTTAAATGCCACAGTGGTTCAGCTTGGATCATCATCGCCGTCGTAAGCATACTACTGACAAGATATAGGATAACATCGGTCCCGTTTCGGTACACGACAGCTGTTCACATTGCATGTTCGGACCAAAGTAGCTGACCACATTGCGACTTCACTCTGCTTGACTTGTGTAGAATCTCGGATCCTTGAACTGCTATCACGCAAGAAACTGGACTTCAAGGCAGACTACATGGTCGTCAAAAAGGTTAGATCAAGTAAGAAAGGTCAGAGTGTCTGTGACACAAGCCAAGGTGAGTGTATGTACAGCTTATGTAGCAATATGACCGCGCATTCACATCGCCGTGCATCGACCTAGGGAAACTGCACTGGTACTTCTTTCAGATGAAGGATATGGCACAAATCGGGATGACTCGACGAGTTGACAAGGCAGACGGTTCTGTGGGAGCGGTTGTATTGTGAGTGTGAGTGAGACGATTACTCACCGTGTAATGCGGTATACATTTGCTAATGCTACAACGATATCCTTTCATACAGATGTAGTTCTCCGGTATATGTTCATTATACACATTCAATCTCTCAATATCAAAACTCGCACTACAGCCACAAAGCACTCTCCTGTCCCTCCTTGGCCCGTTGTCTGATTACATCTTGCAGTTTCGAAATCGACATCTTGTTGGAAGCAAGGTACACATCGAGCAACCTCACAACGTCAAGTTCAGGGTCGGTGCGTTCCTTCGCAAGCCGCTGTATCTCATCGATAATGATCTTCCTTCGTGAGAACAGCTTTCTTTGCGCTTCTGACTTGACATAACCTTGGGCTATCATGTCCTTCACTGACAGCCTACCGAATACTTCCTCTTCCCATTCCCTCCATAGCTCCAACACTGTTGCATGGTTTCTCCATTACAAGCATTTTGCGTGTAAGGTGTGCTGGAAGTGTTTTGAGTAGGCGTGATGCTGGGACCCGGTGCTGCTCGCTGCGATTCTGCTGCCAAATCGCTTAGCACTTGTCGTGAGTTTGACCCGGCCGTTTCCAACTGTGAGGCTAAACCGTCCATCATCCCTTCCGCTCTTCCATCCGCACTTCCTTCCGCACCACTGACCGCGCCGGTAAGGTTGTCCTCTTCTGCGTCGGAAAGCCGTAGTCGTGTCTCAAACACGCCGCTGGATATCGTGTGCAGGCTGCTGGCGAGTATTCCGAGGGACGAGGCGACTGTACGTATAGCGGAGCTGTTCTTACGATGCTCCTCGGTCAGCTTATTAATCACTGGGATGATATCGGTCCGTATCGACGATGTCTTTTGTAGACCCGATTGTCGCAAGTCCCTGAAATTATTCCCCAACCAACCTCT